CAGTACGGAAGATCTGCTGTGAACTATATAGATCATGCATGAGCGACATGCTAGACATGATTTATTGATTAGCAAGATGACATACGTTCAAGTACCCATACATATCCACCCTCGACTCTACAAGATCCCAGGTCATCTTCCTAGGCACACGTGAAACAATACATACACTCGGAGTGCAGAAAGTCGCGAAAGCAAACCTGGTAATGTTGTATTCGCCCGCCTCAAATATTGTACTCCCGTAGTGGCCACATTTATTTATGGCAGCTTCAATCTGGCATGCATCGAAGAACACATCCGAGGATCTCAAGTGGGCTACGGCTGAGAAAGACAAGCATGACATACCTGATCGGTATCATCTTGGCTTTCACCAAGGGGCCTCAGTGTGCATATCTTAGTTGCACGCGAAGTCGAGATGGCGAGGACGAAGGTTAGTTCGGCGAGCAATATGAGAACCCACGCGGGCAACATTCTCAAAGCAGGGAGGGAACTCGGAATGACAGCCCGAAGCTGAGACCGATGAAGATCCCATTGTGCATGTTTTATACATCGCCCATGCGCATGAAAAGGACATCTGGAAGCGAGCAGTAGTCATGAGGATGAAAGTCGGTGACCAGAGAGCGAGTGGCGGGCCGGCGAGGGATCACACTGCAGATGCAGGTGCGAGTGACAAGCTCAATGACGTCAACAACATCCCAAGAAAAACAGAAAATGGACATTCAGGGGATTGAACCCTGGACCTCACGCAGATGACAATGCGAAGCGTGCGCGCTACCACTGTGCCAAATGCCCCTTACAACTCTTTCCCCTTTTGTCAGACGCGATCTACCGTGCGGGGGCCATGGGATGGCTTCACGCGGTCAGTCTGTGGCACTGAATAGACTTGAATTGTGCCGCCATGGATGTTGAGATCATAGACGAGGCCGAGCTACACCAAACCAGATACACGGGAAAGAAACCGACATATTATCCTATCGACGACGCCCACCCATTTGATCTCGATGGTCTTGTTTCCAGCTATTCAGGTCTGTCCCTCCTGCGTCTTCTGTAGAGGCACTATTAATCCCTGATCCCAGGTCGTTCACTTGTCGACCGTCTCGTGCCCGTCATCTCGTCATGTCCTACTCTGACAGGACAAGCACTGCAGCTTGCATTACAAGAGATTTTGCAAATGCGCGACCCCAACCTCTATCGCGCCGTTTTGGCTGCCTATGAGCAAGCCGCCACAGCCTCTAAAGGGCAGCTGCCCCCTAGTAGCGACGTAGCTCCCACAGATCAGAAATGGATAGATGAAACAAATCAGAAGAATCAAGCGGATCGTACCAAGCTTGAGGTCGAGTTGAAGACGTACACAAGCAATATGATTAAGGAGAGCATCAGGGTGTGTGGCTATCTAGTGTATTTCCTCTTCTACTAGACCGATAATGCTTCTAGATGGCCCATAGAGACCTAGGGGACTTCTTCCGTTCGATAGGCGATCATGCTAACTCGCTCAAGCATCACACAAAGTCTCGTGAGTTCTGCACAACTAGTCAACACGTCCTCGATATGTGTCTTTCCGTACTCGAGGTGCGTATTGCATCCGTACGGGATGGCATCGCGTTCAACCACAGTGTCGTTAGCTCTTGGTTGAGCATCGCAACTACCCCCACATCGCCACATACGTCTTCAAAGCCGAAGCGGCATTGGACGCTACTGCCAGTGCAGCGCGTATGAGTGCGAATGCCGCGGCGCCCACTGCACCCCCTGCGGCTGCCGCAGCAAACAAAGAAAAGATGGCGGCAGACCGTGAAAAGGTACAAAGCAAGCTTGATGTCGCACTTGCGCTGTCCCATCTGGGTCAAACCCAGTATGAGAAGGCAGCGACAGCTTTTATCAAAGTTGGCTCGATCAAAAGCCTTGGCGAATGGATCGGAAAGGTCTCCTTGATTCCCTTATGCTGTCTGGGTGTCTTGCTCACATTGTTTGATTGACGTCTGGACAGATGATTGCTCCCGCAGATATTGCCGTCTATGCAACGCTATGTGCGCTAGCTACATTCACCCGCCCTGCAATTCGCGCTCAAGTCTTGGACAACGACGGATTTGGCGCATACATTGAACAAGAACCATACGTGCGCGAACTACTGGAGGCGTACATGGGCAATCGCTTTAAGGATGTACTAGCATTACTCGACAAATATTCAGTAAGCGTTATATTGTCACCTGCTTGAATTGATAATCTCAACCACCGTAGACACGGCACAGCCTCGACATCCATCTTGCATCGCACATGAGCATCCTCACAAACTTGATCCGTAGCCGCGCGTTAGTGCTCTATTTCCAGCCATTTGCATCTATCAAGCTCGAACGCATGAGTGTCGCGTTCGGTTGGTCAATCGAGGAGCTAGAGCAACATGTTGTTAACCTGATTCAAGGAGGGGAGATCCAGGCAAGAGTGGATCGACAAAATAAGGTAAGATCACCGTCGTTTCCATTTTATGAATGACTTTACTGATGGCCATTCTATATGCCACAGATACTAAAGGCAAAAGAAACAGACCAACGCGCGGTATTGTTCTCTCGCGCCATCAAATCTGGGGAGCAGATGCAGGCTGCGAACCGCAAACTACTGCTCCGAATGCGATTGTACGTTACAATAGTTCATCCATGCGTAAACTCAGTCTACTCACGTAGCCTAATCCACCTAGACAACAAGCTGATCTTGTGGTCAAGGCCCCTAAGGGCCAACACCAACAGCAGCATCTGGGCATTATGTCCATGCCTCCAATGACCGGGGACTTTTATATGGACATGGGGATAGGATACTAGTGCGAGGATCTGTGGATTCTTCGTCCAGCTCGCGATTGACATGTACTTTTACGCTGCACATATGCCGCGCGCATCCTCCTGTATCCATGTATTGTCAGTGTTTTCATATCACAATCTTTACAAATCTAGAATGCGATGATGCTGCACTTGTTTTGGAAAAAGCTGCAAGTCAGACATAGTACCCTGGCCCCTGGACTAGACGGTGGACTGTTTGAGATACAAGCCTGTCGCTGTGATATGAGGACGGACATCAGCAAGCGGGAATTCATTCCAAGCGGCATAGGCTACATCTATCCTTTAGGGGGTGGCGAGGTTGGATTGAGGGGATGCTTGCGAAGCTCGAGCGCGAGTCTCTCTGATGAGGCTTGCATATGATTGTGACCCTAGATGCGTTGTACAGGTGCACATTGCAAACGATACACTTGCCAATTGACGGCGCGGGTGCCAGTGGAAGAGTGCAAAGCGCAAGGTGCACCGTGAGTCCGTGACCGATGCCGCTTGACGTCAGAGCCTGGGTCTTCGGATTCGTCTACCTTTGTCTTCTCTCCGGCCCGCCACTCGCCCTCTGGCCACCGACTTTTATCCTCATGGCTACTGCTCGCTGCCAGGTGTCCTTTTCATTGCACGAACGATGTATAAACTTTGCTTACAGGGGATCTATTTACCTCGGGAGACTATCGTTCTATGTTCTCTCCCTGCCCTGAGAATGTTGCCCGAGTGGGTTCTCATTTTGCTTGCCGAACTGTGCTTCGTCCTCGCTATTCCGACTTCGCGTGCAACTAATATATGCACACTGAGGCCCCTTGGTGAAGGCCGGGATGGCACCGATCAGGTATGTCCGACACCCTTGTCCTGTAGCTCTGTCGACCGTAGCCCACCTGAGACCCTCAGACGTATTCTTCGGCGCATGTCAGATTGAAGCTGCCATAAACCAATGCGGCCACTATGGGAGTACAATATTTGAGGCGGGCGAATACAATATTACCAGGTTTGCTTTCGCGACTTTCTGCACTCCGAGTGTATGTATTGTTTCACGTGTGCATAGAAAGATGACCTGGGATCTTGTAGAGTCGAGGATAGATATGTGCGGGTACTTGAACGTATGCCGTCTTGCTAATTGATAAATCATGTCTGACATGTCGCTCATGCATGATCTATATAGTTCACAGCAGATCTTCCGTACTG